TTATTGCCCTTATTTAAGGAAGGAAGGCAGCAAATGTTGTACATGCTGGTTACAGTGCATTTCTCTGAAATTCTGAGGAAAATGGGTCGTTCCAGACATTGTTCAGAAGAACAGCATACCTTGAATAAAAAGTTGATTGGAGAGGGGAAAACATATAAAGAAGTGCAGAAAATAATAGGCTGTTCAGCTAAAATGATTGCAAATGCTTTAAAATGGCAACCAAAACCTGAAAGACGTGGAAAAAAAGCGAAAAACTACCATTTGAATGGGTAGAAGAATAGCCAAAATGGCAAGGACTCAGCCAAAAATCAGCTCCAGGAAGATCAAAGAAGGTCTAAAGTTACCTGTGAGTACTGTTACAATTAGAAGACGCCTATGTGAAGCCAAGCTATCTGCAAGAAGCCCCCGCAAAGTCCCACTGTTGAGAAAAAGACATGCTGAAGAGGTTACAATTTGCCAAAGAGCACATTGACTGGCCTAAAGAGAAATGGCGCAACATTTTGTGGACTGATGAAAGTAAGATTGTTCTTTTTGGGTCTAGTGGCCGGAGACAGTTTGTCAGACGACCCCCAAACACTGAATTCCAGCCACAGTACACTGTGAAGACAGTGAAGCATGGTTGCGCAAGCATCATGATATGGGGATGTTTCTCATACTACAGTGTTGGGCCTATTTATCGCATACCAGGGATCATGGATCAGTTTGAATACATCAGAATACTTGAAGAGGTCATGCTGCCTTATGCTGAAGAGGAAATGCCCTTGAAATGGGTGTTCCAACAAGACAACGACCCCAAACACACCAGTAAACGTGCAACATCTTGGTTCCAGACCAACAAGATTGACGTTATGGAGTGGCCAGCCCAATCCCTGGTTCTTAATCCAATAGAAAACTTGTGGGTGACATCAAAAATGCAGTTTCTGAGGCAAAACCAAGAAATAGAGAAGAACTGTGGAATGTAGTCCAATCATCCTGGGCTGGAATACCTGTTCACAGGTGCCAGAAGTTGGTTGACTCCATGCAACACAGATGTACAGCAGTTCTCAGAAACAGTGCTTATACAACTAAATATTAATTAAGTGATTCAAAGGAAAGCAAAATCTTCAAACATTTTTCAGTTTATATAGTGAATGTTTGAGTTTGTAAAGAAGAATACAAACACTGCTATTTTTGAACAGTCTAATATTCACTTTTCTTCTTTTTTTTTTGAGGAACAACACAAATTTGATATATTTTTTCTTCATGTTTTGATTTGGAATAGAATGTGTAGTGTTCCCAATGCATTTGTGTATATGGAAATAAAAGCTATTAGAAGGATTTTGACCTTTTATTCACTTTTTTCAACATACTGCTATTATTTTGAACACAACTGTACATAAATGGCCGGACAGGAGAAGTGCAGGAGCGTGTTGTCGCAAATGTGCGCACCAGAGACTGACGCAGTCTGCCCTTTTGTTAAGAGTAGCCATGTTATTCCCTCATTCTTCTCCCCCCCTCACTGGCAGGCCAAGGCATCTCTGAGCTAGGTGCCTCGCTATCTGGGAGAACCTGTGCCATTTCACACCTCCTAAGAGATAAGGCAAGCTTTCCCAGAAGTTGAAAGAGATTCCGACCTCATAAACCTAGCTCAGCATAGGTGATAGAATCAGTAACCTCTGTTAAAACCATGTTTTCCCCTAAGTCTCATATCTTGGAATATGAGAAACTTACAGAAAAACCAGACATACCGTCAGATTGGCTAGGAGGAGCCTAAAAAATAGATCTCGTGAACCGTTCAGTAAATAATTACATAATTCACAGCGAATCAATCCTCAGACTTGTCTGCATAATAATCTACCCACGGGTGGAATGTCACTTGTACAGATGGGAAGTTATGGGCCAAAATATGAGTTAGGAAAGATTTTGACTCTAGTTTAGGCCTACGCCCAGACGTTCCCTCCCAAATGGGGTATTGGTCCTTTGACTTCAGCAACACCCCCTGCTGGGGACTTTAAAACAGGCTGTCAGGCCTAAGAGGAAAAAGAAGAATGCTCCCATTAACCATGGTAACATAGGAAGATCAAAAAGCACCCTTCTGCTCTAAACTTGGATCTGCTAACCCAGGACTTTGGAAAGTACCTTAAACCTTTCTCTCTGATATCTCTTTGCTGTGCTATGGTTCTTTGTATATTTATATATATATATATATATCTTAGTTACATCTTTTTTCTATAAATATTTCTATTGCACCCATTTGACCGTTTAGTAATAAATCTTTCTTTCTGAAAGCGTTGAACTGTTTCTATAGCTCTGTATTGCAATTTACGAATCCCTGCCTCTAAAGAGAACGCTACTGTTTATTTAACCCTCTGTATAACAGGCCTGTGTTATGACTGTGTTATGCAGACGATTATTTCAATCATTATAGTGTTATAGCTGATAACGCCGAGTTTCCTCTTTCTCTGTACAAAAAGGAGGTGGTGGCAGTGTGAAGGGTTAATTGCAGGATTAACCTGACCCAGTAACAATCGCCCAGGCTGCCGGTACCTCGATTGTGGTCCGTTAGCTGGAAAATCGTTGTGCAGGGTGCAGCTGGGTGTGACATTGTTACGCACGTCACATCATGGCTTTAGATTGGCTAGTCCTTTGCTCACGAGTTTGATGAGAAGGTCTGGGGTCTGACGCCGCGATCGTGACACGGGTTGCCGTTCATAAATGGTACTTGCATTTACAGGTGCCTGTTGTGTCCAGTGGAAACAGTGGAACACCAATCGCTGTACAGGACCTCTGTGTGAGGTCCCGGTCATGCAATCACTGACTGGCCAACCAATGATCACATGAATATTAGTAAGCAAGATGTCACTTCCTGACATCATTGCTTACTATGTGTGAAATCTGTGAATGATCACCAAGCGCACATGGTACCAGGCTATTCACAACAGCCTTGTGCCATGTGACAAGCTGTGACCAATCACAGCTCACACAGTATTTCTCAATGGCTGCAAGAATGCAGCGAGAGAGAAGGAGAAATTATTGCTTTTACAGCCTTTATGGGTGTAAAAGCAATCAGTGTAAAAAAAAAAATTTCATCAACCCCCACAAGTAGTACAGTGTCACTATGGTGACACTGTACTGCTAGGGTGATAGTAAGTAAAAACAAAAAAAAAAAATAATATAAAAAATAAAATAAAAATGTAAAAAAAAGTTTGGAAAATTATAAATTTTTGGTTATAAACTAATTTCGGTTATTTTGTTTTTTACTAAAAAGATAACTGAATACATTTTGGCCAAGATTTATGAAGGATTATTTATTTGCAATTTTTTATAAGAAAAAACACTATTTCAACATTTTTGGACTTTTTCATTTATATAGCAAAAAAAAAAAAAAGATAAAATAAAGATCCCAGTGGTGAATATATACCACCAAAATAAAGTTTTATCTGTCAATAAAATGCAAAAAAATTCATATGGGTGCAGTGTTGCATGACCGCGCAATTGTCATTCAAAGTGTGATAGCACTGAAAGCTGAAAATTGGCCTGGCCAGGAAGGGGGTAAAAAGTGTCCAGACTTGAAGTGGTTAAGAAGCTGCTTGGTTCGGATATGAAACATCTTCAACAATAAAGAACAAGTCTGGTTGAATGTGACTAACTACTACATGGTAATATAGGTGTCCCTAATTGCATGATCACTGCAAGAGAGCTTCTCAGCATTGTGCCGTTCTGGCTGAGAAAGCACATTGATTGGTCCTCTCTCTCAACGTGCATGTCATGTTCTCCATAGGCACAGGATGACTGCTTGCAGAACAAACATCATCTGCCAAATGATCCATTTGTGTGTGGGCCCCTTGTAGAAAATCACTGCTTACAGTCAAATGTACAATCAACATCATTTTTCTTTATCAAGAGGTCCAAAGGACTCCAGAACAATTGGACAACTGCTTGGAATACAATTTATTATGCAGAGAGAGCAGAATGTATTTGATTTTATTACTCTATACTGCAGTCTACCTATTTAACAGGCAAGGGGAATTCCAATTACATTGATTTAACATTAGTGGCAACATATCCAGACTACAGATTGAAGACGTTGCCCTGTATATAAGGTGACTAAATATACTTTGTTACAATTCATGGGAAACAGTTATATATGCCTGTCTCTGAGCTCATTAAGCACTTTGTTTTAGACCTTGGCTAGCTCTCCCAATAAGCAGCACATCTGCAGTGATCAGCGTGAGCTTTATTCATTCTTTAACCTTTCTCTTTCATTATCCTGACTACTTTTTTCATGAAGCTATAAAAGGATATCTTCAGGTACAGGGAGCAAACAACAACCCCTTCAGTGTTCTACTCATTACTTAGTCTTCGCTGTTTCCTCTTTCAGTCTCTTTTCTTCTATTTACTTCTCTACATCACAGACTGTGTTCAATAAATTCCATACATGGGGAAAACACAGCAATCCGATCTGAGAATTACTTTTCACTACGACGACATTTTATTAATCCATTTTATTAGTTTCTGGTTGGCCACCGGAGTCTGTGGTTGATTGTGACTTCAAGGAAAATCGAATTCAGATTAAAAAAACGTCATTGCTGTGCAAAACAAGCAAGCTTCTTTATTTTTCTTACCTCCCTCTAAGCCCACCCAAATCTCTGGTGGCTAACAACATGGGCTGCTTGATGCAGATGAAAAGCCTTGTAAAATTAAAAATCACTGCTGTGAGTATTAATATGGGAAATTGGGAATACCTATAATATATCAATGCCACCAAGCCGCAGCAATTTATGGAGAATTTTTTTGAATTGTTATTGATGTCAATAAACATGTGTGTAGAGCATGCCTCTGATTCCTCCCTAGCATTCTCATTTTATCATCTGTGTAGCTATGGGTTTTTTTTTTTTCCATATCTGCATCTATTGCTCGAGTTTCAAGTACATGTGCTTAACTACTGGTACAGGGTGGTAGGGCTGCACAAAATCACGCCATTAGCGGCTACAGCTGTCGAACACTGGGTCCCGGACTGAGATTCCCCGCCGCCACCCGGCAATCAACAAGGAACAGTGACAGGGGAGAGGTCTGTATGTAAACAACACAGATCTCTCCTCTATCAGCACCGACATACTGCTTTGTATTGATCTGCATAGTAGTGGTGTTTTAGGGTTTGTGCTGCCGTAAGCAACACAAAACTCATCTGCCCCATGGACATCGACCAACCCCCTCCCACGGAGAGAGCCTGACATTGACCAACAACACACCCCTGCCCCCCACTTGGAAGAGCCTTCCACTACCCCCCATGAAAGAGAGAAAGACACTTATCGTCAAAGCTCCGGCCATCCCTGGGATCGAGAGTCAAACTCTACGTATACCATCAAGCAGCCCGAAGCCTCTCTTGGATCCCACCTGGTTCCCATGGCGCATATCCCTTCTTTCATCCCTTCTTCAGGTGCTGCCCCCCCTGAAAAATGCAGCCCTAGGCAAGTGCTTTGTGGGAAAACACACACAGTAATGCAGCACACAGTTAACCCTTTGATCACCCCAGATGTTAACCCCTTCCTGCCCAGTGTCATTAGTACAGTGTCAGTGCTTTTTTTTAGCACTGATCACTGTATTAGTGTCATTGGGGATGTCAGTGGCAGTTAGTCAGTTCTCCCCAGTGTCAGAATGCCCACCGCAGTCCCGCAATAATGCGCTGATTGCCACCATTACTAGTATATAAAAAATAAAAATTCCAGTATATACTGTATACTGCCATTTGTAGATGCTATAACTTTCAGGTAAACCAATTTACATATATTGGGATTTTTTTTTAGCAAAGACATGTAGCAGAATACATTTTGGCCTAAATTTTTGACGAAATTTGATTTTTTAAATTATTTTACTGGATATGCTTTATAGCAAAAAGTAAAAAATGTGGGGGTTTTTTTCAAAATGTTTTTTGTTTATAGCGCAAAAAATAAAAACACACAGGTGATCAAATACCACCAAAAGAAAGCTCTATTTGTGCACCAAAAAGGACAAAAATTTCATTTGGGTGCAGTGTTGCATGACTGAGCAATTGTCAGTTAAACTAATGCAGAGCTGTATCGCACGAAATGGCCTGGTCAGGAAGGGGGGTAAATCCTCTGGAGAGTAAGTGGTTAAAGATACACATAGGTCATCCTTGCTGACCACATGCTGAAAATGAATACCTAGCGTGCAATGAACTCTGTAGTCAGGTGATTAGTAGAGGTCCAGCAATATACAGTTATATCTAGAATTTGATAAAGTACAGGAGAAAACTGCTTTGTGCCAGGACTGCAACTGCTGATTATTTTCGTAATCTATTAGTTGGCTGATTATTGTTTTGATTAATTGATTAATTGAATAAAAATATAAAAAAAGTCTGCTGTATAATGTAGTTAAAGTGGAACTTTACTCTCTCAATAAACATTGACTATTTTTAATCCTTATGCTGATAGCATTGGAAAATAGATAGGAAAGTACTGTATATCATTATTTACTTGCTTTAAACTTATTTCTTCAGTTACTTCTTGGTTTCCTGCCTAGGCAAATGATGTCCCAGCAGTCTTCAGAAGGTGAGAGAGGGTTCCCAGCTCAACCAGTACCTGAGCTAAGGGCAGATGGATTGCAGGAAGTAAATGCTACACAAATCATCTGCCCTTACTCAAGATGGCCACTGCCATGGAGACATGGCTGGATGGCTGAATTTGCTTTGAATATTAACAACTAATTAAATAGCATTTTGGGTTTGTGGTGCTCAGATGCTGTGCAGTTCCACTTTAGTATTTACAAATTTTAAAAAAAAAGACAGTGATAAATATGAATGTGCAGTGGTAAATATAAATAACCAGCAATACAGTTAGGGAACAAAATATCTAACCCACTTTGAGAATAACAGACAGAAGAGATATACTGTATATAATACTAGAGGTTGAATCTGATACTTATCAGACTCAGAGATAAATATTTTTTATTCAAAGAAAAAATAAGATAAAAAGACCTAAAATGCAGATTTTCAGACAGGATTGTAATATATTATGCATGACATGGCAGGTAGCCCTGATACAAGCTGGCCATACACAAATACATTTTTAATTTCAAAGTTTTTGTTTTTAAGAACATTTGTTTGATTTTCTAATCAATCGTGGAGTCAAATTAACGTTTCTAACCACAATAGCGGGAAAATTAGAAGGAACAAAATAGAACACTTTTCTCAATGGAACGAAAACCTTTTCTGTACAGCATCCCAGCCAGCTCCCCCTAATACTCACCTAAGCCCCCTCTTGATCCAGCGATGTGCACTGGAGTCTTGACTATCCCGGGATTCTCTCTCCTCTTTGGCTGAGACAGCAGTAGGAGCCATTGGCTGCCTCTACTGTCAATTACAGCCAGTGAGCCAATGATAAGAGAGAGGGGTGAGGCCAAGCTGTGGCCCTGTGTGTGAATGGACACATGGAACAGCGACTTGGGAATGTGCCTGCTCAGGTCCCCTTAGAGCAGGGTGCTTGCTGTGGGGGCACCCAACAGAAGGGAGGGGCTAGGAGCGCCAGCAGGGTAACCCAAAAAGTGGTGGATCCAGGCTGCTCTGTGCAGGTAAATATAGACATGTTTGGGGGTTTTTTTGTTTTTTTTTAAATTCAGGCCTTTAGTATCACTTTAATGCCTGAACACAATTTTGCAACTTTGACATGTGTTAGTAAAATCGTACATTTCATTGCAACTACTTTGTGCATCTAGATGGATTATATCTTGTTTTTTTAGGACACATTGGGCTTTCTTTTGGTTGTGAATGGTAACAGATATCTCCTAATTGTTTTTATTATCAAAGGTAAACTGGCCCAAAAAAGTAAAAAATAAAAAAAAAAATCTTTAAATGTAGCTGTATATTCCATGCCACTACCATAACCTACCACCAAAGAACAACCCAAAATAAATTCTCCTGCTCCTGACAATCACAGCGATACCATACATGTGTATGTTATTTGTTGTTTGTACCAATCAAAGGCTGTCACAGTGATCAGGTGACTCAGAACCGAGAGATCTGGGTTCCGGTCAGTAGTATGGGACCTGGGGCTCCCGATGACAGCCCGGTCTTTGTACTGGGAGCGCTCTGTGTGGCCCACCTTCAGCATAAAGACCGATATGCATATATGCGGCCCCATGGAAAACAGCCCAGTTCTGTGAGGCTACATATATGTGTGCGCTTGTTGGGAAAGGGTTAAAAATGTTTTTAAAGTGTATCTAAACCAAAAAACAAAAATGTACTACATTGCAGCTTACCAGCCATTATGGATGTGGTGGCTGCATTCATTTTTTATCAACTAGTGTTGGTGTGCAAGCTGATACAAGCTGGCCATACACAAATACATTTTTAATTTCAAAGTTTTTGTTTTAAGAACATTTGTTTGATTTTCTAATCAATCGTGGAGTCAAATTAACGTTTCTAACCACAATAGCGGGAAAAATTAGAAGGAACAAAATAGAACACTTTTCTCAATGGAACGAAAACCTTTTCTGTACAGCATCCCAGCCAGCTCCCCCTAATACTCACCTAAGCCCCCTCTTGATCCAGCGATGTGCACTGGAGTCTTGACTATCCCGGGATTCTCTCTCCTCTTTGGCTGAGACAGCAGTAGGAGCCATTGGCTGCCTCTACTGTCAATTACAGCCAGTGAGCCAATGATAAGAGAGAGGGGTGAGGCCAAGCTGTGGCCCTGTGTGTGAATGGACACATGGAACAGCGACTTGGGAATGTGCCTGCTCAGGTCCCCTTAGAGCAGGGTGCTTGCTGTGGGGGCACCCAACAGAAGGGAGGGGCTAGGAGCGCCAGCAGGGTAACCCAAAAAGTGGTGGATCCAGGCTGCTCTGTGCAGGTAAATATAGACATGTTTGGGGGTTTTTTTTTTTTTTTTTTAAATTCAGGCCTTTAGTATCACTTTAATGCCTGAACACAATTTTGCAACTTTGACATGTGTTAGTAAAATCGTACATTTCATTGCAACTACTTTGTGCATCTAGATGGATTATATCTTGTTTTTTTTTAGGACACATTGGGCTTTCTTTTGGTTGTGAATGGTAACAGATATCTCCTAATTGTTTTTATTATCAAAGGTAAACTGGCCCAAAAAAGTAAAAAATAAAAAAAAAAAAATCTTTAAATGTAGCTGTATATTCCATGCCACTACCATAACCTACCACCAAAGAACAACCCAAAATAAATTCTCCTGCTCCTGACAATCACAGCGATACCATACATGTGTATGTTATTTGTTGTTTGTACCAATCAAAGGCTGTCACAGTGATCAGGTGACTCAGAACCGAGAGTCCTGGGTTCCGGTCAGTAGTATGGGACCTGGGGCTCCCGATGACAGCCCGGTCTTTGTACTGGGAGCGCTCTGTGTGGCCCACACCTTCAGCATAAAGACAGATATGCATATATGCGGCCCCATGGAAAACAGCCCAGTTCTGTGAGGCTACATATATGTGTGCGCTTGTTGGGAAAGGGTTAAAAATGTTTTTAAAGTGTATCTAAACCAAAAAACAAAAATGTACTACATTGCAGCTTACCAGCCATTGGATGTGGTGGCTGCATTCATTTTTTATCAACTAGTGTTGGTGTGCATGAAGATCCTTTTACACATTTGTAGGTGTGTCAAGTTCCTTTTTCTACCAAACTGCTCCTGCACTTGAATGTGGTGAAAAAAAACATCAAACTCTCCTAAAAGTGGTGTTTTTAATGCCAAGTGTACATGAGGTCTAAGTGCTGCACAGGATGCCAGTAGTTCTGGATGGGAGATGTGTTCCCATTGTTTGGGTTGTGGTTCCTTTAAGGGGGATGACAAGAGACAGCTGGAGTACTCAGGGATTCTCACCCATGCAGGGGAGGGTTCCAGGGTGGTTTGGTAGAGAGGGAAAAAAACTGATTACAGATTTCCCAAGATTTTTAAGGACTAATGTAGGACCCAGAATTCAGATTCTCAGATAAATTTTGGATAAGAAAGAGCCTTCAACCCTGTCTACAGGTACTTTGCTCCAGAAACTGTTAACCCACCTGTGTGAGAGGGCCAGAAAAGGCAGGAAGCATCCAGCAGGTGTCCATGGGGTGTTGATCCCAGGACACAGCTCTGAGAGGACTGTGGACTGTTCAAACTACCAAGGCACTACTGAGCTGTGATGACCGTTTCTTTGGATCTCAGGTGGGGATTTTAATTGCCTACTGCCCTCCATATTAGGAAATGACGGGTGCGCGGTCTCATTCTGGGAGGATGTCATATGATGGGGCATGTGGCATGGTGATCGGTGGTGCGCTGTGTCCCTGGGACACAGCAGATGACCGATCACAGTAAAGAGCCAATGACACAGGCTCTATCATGTGATCAGCTGTGTCCAATTATGGCTGATTGCATGTAAACAAGGAAATGCTGGTAGGAGAACTGGTAAGTGGCATTCCTCAGAGGGGACATCTACAGGGATCATCAGTGCCCTGATGTTTAGTGTAGCCCCATCAGTGCCACCTGTTAGTGCCCATCAATGCCGCCTGTCAGTGCCCATCAATGCCACATAGCAGTGCCCATCAATGCACATCAATGCCACATATCAGTGCCTACCAGTGCACATCAATGCCACACATCAGTGCCTATCAGAGTTGCCTTTCAGTGCCAACTATCAGTGCCAGTCAATGAAGACTATCAGT